TGTAGTACATTTTATTTGTAATGCACTTTATATTTTTGGAAAAATTCTCAAAGTGTTACAGAGATTAAAAATAAAATAATAAATCATCAGAATAAACCATTGGAATAAAAACAAGAAAGATTAGACAAATACACTTCCTGATATTTATGTTGTTACAGGAATTTCTAAATACTGATGTCATGAGGTGAAGCCGCAACATTTATATTTTGAATTGACATAGAAAAAATACATCTTTTAAAGGTTGTAAAATATTTATTGTTCTTTTTGAAGGATTTATTCATTGATTTAAACGGCTATTTAACTGTAAACGAGTTCAACTTATTAGTGTAAAAACCTTGGACTAGTCACTGATTTGCTCTTCAGCTGTGTCTGGATAAACTGATGGAGAAGTGCAGCCCGTGCCTCGACACAATCAAGATGCAGGTGTATTTTGAGTTGAATTACACCTCCAGACGTAAGTGTGTTTGAAATGAAAACCAATATCCTGTGTGTCTTAACCCAGGAGTAAACATCATTCTCTTCAGTGTATCATAGAAACTGGTATTATTTTGTCGTCATTAATAAAGTTTTCACTGCATCGTTGTAATGATGCCTGACCCGTGTCTAAGGATGCATCATATCATATCTTTATATTATTTTTACGATCATCCAGTCAACTCGCCTGAATCAGTAAGATTATTCTGCAGGAAAGATTTTAGAATAATTGAGAAGCAAATCCAACATGTTTTTGACTAAAAACCTGAAAAGTTGTTTATGGAAACCTTCTTTTAAATTGTGGCCTTTTTAAGGATTGCATATGAGCGTTGTAAGATGAACATCTTAACAGAGACCTGAATGTGTTTGTGCAGGAGAGTTCCTGGAGGATATCCACCAGGTGATGGAGTCCAAGCTGAGCTCAGTGAGCAGAGAGATCACAGACAGCAGGGTGAAGACACGGGAAGAGTTAGAAGCATTGTACCGCAAAGTCGTAACGTACATCCTGGTTGTCCTCCCAGCTATTCCAGACGATGATAACCATCCTACCAATCCACCCCCTTCACAAGAGGATAGCCTTCGTAGGAGCAAATAGCTGCCACTACTTGGGGGCGGCTGTACAAAAGGCAGTCAAACCCGCGATGGATAATTGCTGCACGCACCTGAAAGCCAGTGCGAGCGGGCGCGTGATGGATATTCAGAGCGGGAACGCGCAGCAGAGGAAAGGAGAGTGAAGCGAGGATGAAAAGAGAGGAACGGCCGTCTGCATGGACTAATCGCGGCCCAATTAGGAAACTCAAGTACCAGTAGAGGTGTGCGTGCATCCTAGAGACCTGTAAGTTGTGTGTTATAAGTTATAAGTACAGTTATTCTGTGGTTGTATTAGTTTTAACCTTATTTGTAGATGCCTTGAGTGTACATTATAGTCTGTTGGAGATTTATATATTTTAGTTGAAGTAAATGCAGAACAAGATTGTATGCAATGCATAATAGCTAAGCTTTTGTGATTTATCTTTTCACAGAACCACTCACATTTCTAAGCCTGTACACGCTCATGTTTGTACACTGTTGCAAGGAGAATTAAAACCACTTAAAGGAGAGAAGTTGTCTGCATCTGTGTTTTAACAGACACGCCTGGAGCGAAGTCTGAAATACGACTCAGCCAGTTATCCAGTTCATACAGTCCTTTTAAACCTCCACAACAGTCTCTGAGTGCAACAGCCACCTTATGACCACCTGTCATAAAAATGAGAAATCAGAATATTTTAAAAATCGTTAAAAAAACTTGTAATTGTTATTTATAACCAAAAAAGTTAATATTTTGTATTTCCTCCTTGATAACAGTTTGCATTCTTGCTGGCTTTGTTTTGATGTACCTTTCAACAGTCTCTCTTGAGTTCCAAATAGTTTCTAGCTGTTCCCACAGACTTGCTTTAGATTAAAGTTTTCATCAATCTTTGAATCTACTAAATCCCAAATTTGTTCAATGGGATTCAGATCCAGACTTTGACTTGGCCAGTCCATCAGGTCCAGTACTCCAGATTCCTTTTCTTGGTCAAATAGTCTCTGCACAGCTTTCAAGTATGCTTGGGCTTATTGTCTTGTTGGTATATAAACCCAATTTCAAACTGAATTCCCCTTTTTATACCCAAAAATGAGCCGGCTCACTGGGCTTCTCTGAGAAGTCAGAAATGAATCAAGCATAACTTTCAACCACTAAAAGTAAATAACTATAATTTGACATCTTAATCAAGAAATAATAATCTGCTTTACTATTTTTTGCTAAAACAGTAAATTTGAATGGATAACAATAATAATGATATTTTAGCATTAAAAATATCATTTCAGTTAAAGAGCTTCTACATACTGATGTATTAACCATTACAGAAACATAAAAAAATATTTTTCTAATAACCAATGGTGTTACCGAATTCCCCCCTGGGATTATTTAAGTATTTCTGATTCTGATAATTTAGGGCAGCCTTACATTGGGTGGTGGTCTAATACATTTATTAAGCACTGTACATACAAAGTACACTCCAACGCTTCTATCAGTGTGTAGTTAGACATTTTGTTCACTTTGTTCAATTCCAACATTACAGAAAGTGATATTTTCTCCATGTATAGTTATCTTAATGTTGTCGGGTTGTTGTTATGGTAGAGTTTCACAACATTGTCATTGATGGTTGCTCGGCTCGAAATCGTGAACTTTGAGTTCATGGATGAACTCCTTAAATCCACACCCCTGTGAGATGTGAAAAGGTGTTCTAGTGAATGATGGGTGATGAAGGGTCAGATTCAGGAACGGTAGCAAACACATTTACAAAACTAAAAACACACACTCGAATACTGAAGTTTTGAAAGTCTTTGAATTATATTTGAATGCTGAATTTCTTTCCAACAGCCCTAATACCGAGGGTTTGAAGAAGAGCTAACTGGCTGCTTTGAAGCTGAAGGCTGTGGTGTTAGCTAGTACCTTAAAGCCGAACCACTTCTCGTCAGATGACTGCAGTCCGCTGCCAAAGTTACATATAGCATACTGACGCAATTCTCCTTGTTGAAAATTATCGTACAATTAGACCGACCTTTGAAACGACTGTTTTAAGGTGGAAAAGTTCCATAATGTTGCTTTAACTGATGCTAAAAGAAACCCTGCCCTGATCACGTAGTAGATTGTGAGTTGGCCTGGCTGGACATTTTTCTGCGCATCTTCTTGAATTTTTGCTGGATGACTATTTGACAAGTAGCTTCTCATATTACTTGTATTTCCCAACGTGTAGGTCACAGCAGTCTGGCAGTGTCTGTATATTGTTTTTTTTATTCATCAACTTTTCTCCTTTCTCATTTCTTGTCCTGTTGAAATGAAAAGGCTTCCACACGTCGTATTTAAAAGCCGCTGTAGCATCCACAAGTTCAAAATCTTTTCTATGTTCTCCCTCGATGTACTAGAACTTAGGCAGTAAGCGGTCATGCATGGAGATGATCTCTGTAGTTCCCACTTCCCTCCGCTCTGCTCCAGTGTCTGAAACAAAACTACACTTTTTGCCCAGAAGACTTATCGATTCATACCGTCACAGCAAGTCCATGATATCGTCAAGTTGATGATAGTCTTTGACCCCAGTTTACAGAAAAGTAGAAAAATGTATCTAATGTTTGTATTTTTACATAACAAATATTAGTTTTCAGCACCACCCTGTTGATTTACGCCTTTAAATATTTGTCTAGAAAGGGGAAACATCAGGTGAAGGGGTCTGGGGATCTTCTCAGATTTTTTAGCAACAAAGATTTCATTCACTGCATTGTGCTCGATTTATGCACAAATTTATGTTCTTGTGATTTTGTCTTGTGTACTCTTTTGTGTCCCTTCTGTAATCTCATTTGGTGTTAGGACACATTATCACATGTTACATACATTTATTTTGATACTTTTATTTTGTATGTAGATTGTTTGTTGGATGTATGATTTTACTGCTGCCTGAAAAACAAATTACCCTCTCACAACGACAAGAAAGACAACCTTGTACCGTGAACCGGAGGTAAGCCATGATTTGACTGTCTGAGATTTACATATTCATTTGCATAATTCTTTTTGCATTTTATCAAAAATAAAAACAGTGATGGTTTGAGAATAACATGCATAACTTCCAGGTTATACCAGTTTTGAGGATAATATGTATTTAGGATTATTCCAAGAAATGACTTAAAAAAGCAACATGTCCGATGTGTCCTTGGGCAAGACACTTAACCCCAATTTTCTCCTGCTGCTTCAAAGGCAACGTATGAAAGGGATTAGTTACTTCTGATGGTCTCACTACATAGAAACCTCTGCCATCAGTGTGAATGGGTGTGATTGAATCTACTTACTTGGTCCATTACATTTCTCCTGACACAATGAAAGTAATAATACTCTGTCAACAAGTTCAATCAAAGGGAAATTCATGCAAACATCGAAGTCAGAAGCAAACTATAGGCTCTGTTTTTCTTTGTAAGCAGAGCAGAACAACTGCCCATAAACAACCCCTTACATCAGACTTTCTTTTATTTATTTAATGTTTTTTATACACTTATGTATGAGTGAGAGAGGACGACACATGTCAAGTTTGTTAATAAAGCACATTTACAAAATTCTCAACTTGACCAAAGTGCTATAAAACCAAGATAGAGAAATAAATAAAATTAAAATCCATATTAAAGAATAAGAGTACCCACAAAGAAATATGAAACCCCAACAAAATGAAATGTGAGAATAAAACAAATAAGAGCAAAGATTAAATCCATAAACAGAATAATTGGTCAGGCCATTGCTTCATTTGTGACATTTTATCACATTTACAGTTCCAGGTCTAAAAGAACGGATGAACTTGGTTCATTAACTTTAAAATTATCAAAAGTGTATTTGAAGATAATCTGGATTGTTGACTGTGTCCACAGCTGGGATGAGGAGCTGGTGTTGAATTTCTTTAGATTTGCAAATCAGTGTCAGTGATATAAGTAGAGACCGTTGTCATATTCAGTTCACAGAGCACCACGATGGAGAAGTTCTGGCTGGGTCTCTTGTGTCTCTCAGGTCAGTAAACTCTGTTTAATTATAACTGCTTATTTTCTTACAATCCACAATGTCTTCAGTAATTAAGTGTTTTAAGGGGTTGTCTTTATGATTATGTTGGTTGGTCTGAAAAAAATGTTAACCTTAAAAATTCAATAAAAAGCAATATATAAAATAGAATAATATAATAAAAGGCAGTGTACATATTATTTTTAATTTTGTTCGACAGGTGCATCTCCACATAAACAGAGAGACTTTGCACATTAATAGTTTGGTAAAGCAGCTTTATATAAATCATTTTGTAGGTGCAGCTAGGCCTGGGCGATATGACAAATAATTTTATCACGATAAAAAATGTCATATCAGTCGATATCGATAATTATCACGATAATTGTCAATCATTATTTCTTTCAAATTTAAAATCTGATTTGAAAGTTGAAGAAACCAGATGGTTAATTATGGTTTAATTATTCTTTATTGTCGGGGAGCTGGAAATACTGATACGACAGTTTGCTGCTGGGGAGTGGCACTTACTGGCCCGCTGCTTACTGAGGGTCCACACCATAGACTGTTTATGTTATTTACCATACGGTCCATACTAACACTCGTTTGGGATGTTTGGTCATTTCTTTCCTTCGGTGTGTTATAACGGGTCAGGTTTGTGGTGTCGCCGTTTTAGCTGCACTTGTCTTCGGCACAGTTAACAGAGCACTTTACTCTGTTTTTTGTCGGTCTGTAAACTATCCAAACTGTCTCTAAACTCCGGAAGTTGAGCGGCCTTTCTTGTCGACGATGTTTTCTCCTGCTCTGAGCCGCTACACTCAGCGTTTTCTTCAGGGTCTCTATCGCTTATTTCAGCTGTGTTTTCATTCCACTCCTAACATCTGTAAGCCCGCCTACATCCCTATCCCTGCAACATGATTGGCTGTTCGTCGTCTTTTTCTTCTTCTCTTTAATATAGGGTAGCAATTAGCGTTGAAGGAGCTCCCGTTTCCCAGTGGTTGGATGGTGTAATTACATGTTTAAACCTATTGAAATTTTAACTTGCATTTTTCATATTTAAATTGACAAAAATTATATCGCGATAATTATCGTTTTTGTTTTATCGCCTAGGTGCAGCAAAGCACCTGTTTATTTACTCTTTACTGTATGTGTGTTCTCCTCACAGGCTGGAACATCTCCTCATGCCTTCCCTCTCAGTACCACTATGTAGCTGAGCCTATGACTTGGACTGAAGCTCAGACCTACTGCAGAGAGACGTACACAGACCTTGCCACTGTTGAAAACATTGAAGAAATGAAACAACTTCTCTCCACAGTTCCATCTCTGCTTGATGAACATTTTGTCTGGATCGGCCTGTACAGTAAAATCGAGTGGAAATGGTCAGACGGCTACACAGAGAGTGGGGCTGATTATAGGAACTGGCAGCCTGCAGAACCCAACTTTTACGGAGGTCAATTCTGTGTTCAAATGAGTGTGTTCAATAGTGGAACATTGTTCGATTACTTCTGCTCTGTCAGACGTAATTTTATCTGTTACACAGGTAAGAGAGCAAGAAACAAGGGGCATGTCCAGGGTGTTTTGCTTTGATTGGCCCAACTTGGGCGCTGATTTATGAAGGAGTGGAATTAAGTTTTAGTGCACGCACACAGTAATAATAGGGTCGGTAATCTTCTGGTTAAAACATATCCATCAAAACTTTGATAGAGGACATACTGGCTGCTGCGTTGTTGTCAAAGAAGCCAGCACTTCAACATAGCATGTTTCCTTAATGTCTGATCAGATAGTAAAGTCATTTAACGATTTAATTCATTATATATCTCACATATTGTTCTTTCAAAGAGGTTTATTGAACATTTTACTTGGATCAATCATTTCCTTTTTTTTCTAACTCTAACTGCAGGGACACAACAGGATCCTGAGTTTGTCTTTGTCAATGAACGCATGTCTTGGTCCAATGCTCAGAAGCACTGCAGGGAGAACTTCATAGACCTGGCCACTGTGAGGAACTTCAATGACACAGAGAAGTTCCTGAGCTGGGTGCAAAAAGGAAAAGAGGTATGGATTGGTTTGTACAGAGATCCTGACTTTAACTGGTCTAATGGGAGTCCCTCCACATACACATACTGGAAACGCAGTCCAACTCCATTAGGCTCCATGAGCGTGGCTTGTGGAGCTGCAGAGATGCCAACATCAGGAAAATGGATTTTGTCTGACTGCGAAACTAAACTCCCGTTCATTTGCTACAGCCCTCCATGTAAGTGATAAACTGACTTTCACTTGAACACAGAGATTGTAGAATTAGATGATCATAATTGATGCTACACTGTCATTAATTGTAATGAAGCAGTAACTCAGCAGCACAGTTTCTTCTTTATTTCTGCATGACAGCAAAACAGCAGGTGATAAAGCTCAGGATGAAGCCAGAGGACTCCACTGTGGATCTGAATGACCCTGCTGTGAAAGCCGACATAATGAAAAAGGTGAGTCTCCAAACTTTTTTTTAGTAAACTTGAATTGCTCGACCAAGTGAGTGATGGGGGAATTTCTGTCTTCATTTCTGTGTTTGTTTGTTTGACTGTGTTTCTATCCTGTTAGCCTGCCAGGTGAAACTAATGCGAGCTCGCAGCAACAATACAGATTTAAGAACATGTTTAGAAATGTGTTTCCATATGTATCTTTCAGCTCCAGGACAGGCTGAAGGAGAAAGGACTGAGTGGAGTCACCCTGAAGTGGAAAGAGCAGCCTGATGGGAAAGTTTTCCACAAGGAAGAAAAACGATGAAAACTTTAAGCTCTGCACATGAAATGTACCCGTGTTTAGCTGCACAGTAATGTGTGTTATCAATGTTGGATGATGATTCTATCTGAGACATGCATTACAATCAGTGACTAAGGCATTCAGTGAGATAAATAATTGTTTTAAAAGTGTATCGTAAGTTTGTGACCCCTTAAGTGACCCCCGAAATGTTTTTGTTCCTGTTGCTGGGAAATTAGCCCTCATCAATATCAGCGTTAGTGTGTCATTAATTTGTATTGCCATGAATAGATATACCTGCTTATAGTAACAAATGGGGGAAAGGGGATACAGGATTGATTATAACATCAATCCGTTATAATCTGTGTTCTTAAAAAACTGTGTAATGTTGTAAGATTTGTGTTTGTTTAGAATACTGTTTACTTTAAAGTAAATCTCTGGCTTGCATGAGGAGGAGAGACGGTAAATGAACAGCTGTTAGATAGTACACTCATCTTGACACAATGCTCTGATTTATGTTGTGACATTAATGCTTTTTAGCTGACATCTGTCTCTGGAATTTGGGGATGTTGTGTAAGAGGGAGGCACCAAGCAGGTAAACATGAGGAGAGGCTTGTTGTCCATGTGCCTGGACATTAAAGGCAGGGCACTTTTTAAGATTTTGGTTCAAATAGGTTGCGCAAAATCGTCTTATTTTGAAATTCAACTGAAATTTGTGGACTTCCTGTACATTTTAGAGTACGGTCATAATGTAATGTGACGTTCAAGCTGTCAAAAATGCGCTCAAAGAGACCCAGAAAATAGGGAAAAAACAATTCCTTGCATTACAATAGGGTCCTACGCACTTGTCAGTGCTTCGGGCCCTAATTATTTCCCTGTAATGATTCCCATGCATGCTGCTTGAAGTGATGTCAGTCAGCAGCTCTTTCTCCTCTCCTTCAGTGTGCAGCAGGCAGGTGAGCATGAGTAACCATGGTGACTGCCTGTCTGTCAATCAATGATGTCCCGCCCCCTCTATGAATAAAACTCTTCTTTCCGTAAAACTTGCTTTGACCATGTGTGACAGAATAATCATATTCTGCATTATGTTTGAAGTCTACATGTTTTCAAATTTTCATCACTGTATAAAAATATACCTGATGAACACTCAAATAGATTTAAAATCACAAAAGAGGACACACTAAATTGTAGTTTTTGAGGGCAAGACATTTTTGTTGATGAATGTTCTGGGGGAGACCTCCAGACCCCATCAACAAAGACACCTTTCAAATAGACTAAACTTATTAGCACAGTTTGTGTGCATTGAAATGCATTATACAGGGAAACAGGTGTGGTTGAACCGTTAAGTAACTTGCAAAGAAATCTATAAGATCAGTATGAAAAAATAACCTTTTAAAATGTGATCATGATGTTACCATGAAAAAATCATATTTTTTTCTATATTTCCCACCATTACTTTCTTTTATTCTGTTCGCAGGTACAGCCAAATTCTTTTCTATGTGGGTATACTTCTTATAGGCTGGTAAGAAGACAAACCTTCACTCGAAACTGTCAGATTTACATTTCTCCAGCCTCAGCAAATCATATTTCCTTTCCAGCTTACAACATACATTTGGCTCCTATACAAATATAGATCTGCTGCTATGAGGTGCCTTGCACATATGTATTACAGCTTCACAGCTCTAAATGAAGAATTACCATAAAATGGTACACAGATTAGGGGTGCAAACGAGTACTAGGGTACTCGAAAAAAATGTAATTGATAATCGTTTTGTAGTCCACATTTTTGTAAATGTTTCTTGTTGCATTGTAGGTTCTAGGATAGGCCTAATTCAAAACAGAAAAAAACGAATGTTCAGTTCAAATTGTCTTTTTAGTCCACAGAAAAAGAAGGACTTTCTCTTTGTGATTACCGCTTTACCCCGCCAAACCAATGATGTTTGATCATCCAGGACAGAGCAGCATAACTAGATAATACTATATTTTGGAATTTTAGATGATTATTCTTTTAATAACTACAAAACGGAACAACCTTATAGGGAGAAATAGCTCATAGCGAGCGAGATTGAGCGAGTGTGTCATTACGCACAGAGGAGAAAGATGACACACTTAAATCGTTCACCTGTTCTATTGTAACTTCATTTACCTGAGTAAAGTGTGCTCTACACTGCAGACTGTAGTCTTTGTTAACATAATGTTGCTATCAAAACAGCTTCAACTTGCGATGAGTGCGCATTGATGTCTGCGTGTCCGCTCGCCACACTCACTGCTCTAATTATAATAGAAGTGTTAAAACAGTCATAAGATAGGTCTGTGTGAATTTTTATTTGAGGTTTGCTGTCTGTTGAAGTAAGAAATGTCCTAATTTGAACATTAATACAATCAATTATTAAAATCCAGAAGATTCAAATTAATCAATAGATACAGTCGGCATTGCGTCAAAGTTGGGGGCGGGGCCTCCCGTGGGGGAAAAGAATCACGGAAAAAAAAAGAACTACAACACGATTACTCGAGTACTCGCTTTAACAATGGGAAGATTAGAGAGAATTGATGAGAGAAGATTTTGCATTTCTGCACCCCTAACACAGATATAAAATTACTGAAGTGAATGAATTCATGACAATTTGTAATAACATTCAGGCAGACCACAGAGTCGCGCTCTGCTATCATGATAGTGTTTTTGATGGCATCAGATTTCATGCAAGCCCTCATCAGCTGATGGCCAGCTGATTTACTTAAATTCATCCCATTGCATTTGAAACCCTCGTCCACCCCAGCTCCTCCTTTCATACTGTGTCTGACTGAATCAATGCCATGCTGTTGTCATTGATGCCTGCTCTGTTTGGTTTTTAATGCTTCTCTCCCTGCCTTAGGCTTTCCTTGTATGCACATAAAGGGCAGGAATGTGTGCTGTGCCTACCAAATGTTTTCCACGTATGCACTTGGAAGGGCATGATGTCCCATTACAGAGCCATACCGCCAAATATTAATAATTGCAAATAAAGTATTTTCCTAAGTGGTCCTGACTGAATTGAGCTGATATAGACACAAGAGGGCAGTGTTGCGCTTGGATTACCTCTCAGCTTTTAAATAAATGGTTTCCCTGCATTGTAGTAAACAACACATTTTCATGCAGTCATTAAACATAAAAAGAATAAAAACATTTATATAAATATCCAAGGTCTATGAAGAATCTTAAATAATATTTTGGATTATATTCATGAAAGTGTCCAACGACTAAAAAACACATTTTAGTCCTTAATCTTAACATAAAGCCAATGCGGAAGTTAAAAAAAACTGCAGTTTCTCGAGGGTCGCCTTGAGGCCGGCACCAAAAGACCCGAAAGTAACATACACAGACAGCATTTCCAGGATGGTGACTACCTATCGGTGGGCTTCCAAAGCCCCCTTCAGTAACCAATTGGTGTTGCACTCAGGCCTCGTCCAATATTGTTTACAGCCTTTTGGAAAATAACATTTTACTATCAAACTTCCATGACAGTCTACAGGATGGATTCAAGGTTCTGGTTGAGCTCTTCAAACAGTGATTAAAGGGAACTTGGTGAGGAATTGGCCACAGATCCAGAGTCTGCGCGAAAAATGCAGCTCTTTGCTTTCATATATACCCTAAATCCCCTTATCGCCGAGTTTTTTCAGGAGAGTGTGAAAAAGGTTCAATATTGATCCTAGTTTGAGCACCTGCCCACCTTCATTGCTGTGACACCTGTTGGTTTGCCGTTTGCCTGCTAACTGAGGGACGAGGGGCAAAATGTATGTTTTGGGGTGCCTTAAAACCACCTACTTCTCTGGTTAAAACAAATCCAGAGCATTCAGGAGCAGAATCTAAAGTTAGAAGGAGGACATACTGGCTGCTGCATTGTTGTCAGAGAAGCCAGCACTTCAACATAGCATGTTTCCTTAATGTCTGAAAATATAACAAGGTCATTTTTTGATTTAATTCAGTAAATATCTTACATATTGGACATTTCAGTACAGTTTAATTAATTTAATTGGTTATTCTCATTAAATGCTTAAATCTCACTCCTCCACTGAAGGTCAGTTTCACTCACCAGATGAACGGACGCTGTAGCACACAAATGGACATTTAGTTTCACAGTTTAATAACCTCCATCTTCCTGAATTCTCCAAATCTGCTGCTCCACATACTTCACTCATGGGGTGTACTGTGTATATACTGGAGAGCTCTCTGCCCCGGGCCTGACAAGTTCAAAATCCTAGCAGACGGAAGTCCCGTAGCCTACTCAAGACGGGCAACGTTGCCGGCAGCCAGGCAGCAAAGCTACCGCTCAACAAGACCTAATTTCTCAAACTTGTGTGTTTTCCCCCCTTCTTGTTGTAACGCGTTTCAGCCTTTGCATTTGTTGTGGTAGTTTGCATTTGCTAACTAATTTTCTACTATTCACATTTGGAAGTATGGTGAATTGTGTACCTATGTTGTTTGTGGATTCTGTACAAAATGCTGTAACATGCTGTCATGCAGAGAAAATACTAAATAAGTCAGAAAAAATACATTTATTTTGAATATCAGCAAATAAATTATGCTGAGAGAAGCTGCACTGAGCAGAAGCACTGTCGTCTTCCTCATCTTTCTCCTGTTTACACAGGAACCTTATTTGTTTATGGGTTCTCCAGCCTGAGACCTGTAATACTATCCCAGTATCTGAAAAAGGAGCCACTCCCATCAGACCAGTAAATGTCAGGACATGTACAATCCAATCCATTCCTCAACATTATTAGCAGGAATCAAGCTCCGGATTTTCTGGTTCTCACTGTGGTTCTTCACAGTGGCCAGGTCTCTGAAGTTCTCCCTGCAGAACCTCTGAGCACTGGACCAATTCTTTGCATCAATGACATAAACAAATTCAGGATTCTGCTGTGATCCTGCTGTTAGAGAGAGTAAAAAAAAGAGAATAATATATTTCACAAATAACTGTAATAAGCCTTTAAAGAGCTATGTCTTGCATGATCTTTACCTCTGTAGCAAATGAATGATTCAGCATTAGAGTAAGGATTTTCATACCATTCCAAATTTATGGAAATTCAACACACGCTCGATGTCTCTGTAACAAAGCCCAACTTGATGATGTTGAGAAAAGTTTGTATCATTGCATTTAAAGAGACACACACACCAAAACGGAGCGTTCTGAGAGAGCTGGTTTATACAGGGACACAAATCTCCTCTGGTGCTTGATTCATCATTAAGTGTACCCAGCTCAGTTGTTGTTCCATTTTTTCAGTTGAATTTAAGTGCAAAAGCTCAACACCATAAACCCAACGTCAACAGCAGTGATTATTAAACACAAAAGTAGAAATGTAACTTTTGCGCAACGCACGAGAACAGCAAACGGGACCCTGTGCTGCCTCACTGGCCAGCAAGGAGATGCACTCTTGCGCGGAGCAACATATTACACAATGAACGGGCTTGACAGCGGCACACAGCGTCCACTGAGTCCTGTCTGAAAGGCCCGCCAGAGGGATTTCACAACAAAAATAATAAAGTTTTGCATAAATGCAATGGATACCAAATGCTGTTTTCAGAGTATCAAAAGAAGCATGTGCTTTTTAAATGTATCTTCAGGACGGATTAATAACTGCAAAGACATAATAGTAGAAAACCTGAAAGTCCAACCATCCGTGGTGAGTGAGATGCATTTTGTCTTTTTGTAGCGATCTGGAAATAGTGTTTGATTAAAGTCCTTCTGAGTCCTTCATTGTCGATCACAGAAAATGGCCGTTGATCTTTGCTGATATATTCAGTGATACAACTTGTGATCTCTTAGACTTGTCCACTGTTATGGGGAAGTGAGGCTGTAATCGCTTCCATTAGAGCAGTGGTTCTCAACTCATCGAGCCCCAGGACCCACCACCAACTCCTACCTGAAAAATTACAATCAAAATGTCTGATATTTTTTAATCAATCAGATTTATTGAATGAAAGATTGGGCAGTGTACATCTAACGGAAGCAAGAAACTGAACAAAACTAACACATTTTAAAAAGCATTTGACAGATTGTTTGAGACAAGGTTTTTTCCAAGCACATGCACGCGACCCAATGTAAACATTTCCGCGACACACTTTTGGGCCCCGACCCAGCAGTTGAGAACTACTTCTTTCGAGTGACTTGGCCTGGCTGGACTTTTTTCTGCGCATCTTCTTGAATTTTTGCTGGATGACTATTTGACAAGTAGCTTCTCATATTACTTGTATTTCCCAACGTGTAGGTCACAGCAGTCTGGCAGTGTCTGTATATTGTTTTTTTTTTTCATTTCTTGTACTGTTGAAATGAAAAGGCTTCCACACGTCGTATTTAAAAGCCGCTGTAGCATCCACAAGTTCAAAATCGTTTTTATGTTCTCCCTCGATGTACTAGAACTTAGGCAGTAAGCGGTCATGCATGGAGATGGTCTCTGTAGTTCCCACTTCCCTCCGCTCTGCTCCACAGTGTCTGAAACAAAACTACACTTTTTGCCCAGAAGACTTATCGATTCATACCGTCACAGCAAGTCCATGACCATATTGAGACACTTTTAATCTTGTGATATCGTCAAGTTGATGATAGTCTTTGACCCCAGTTTACAGAAAAGTAGAAAAATGTATCTAATGTTTGTATTTTTACATAACAAATATTAGTTTTCAGCACCACCCTGTTGATTTACGCCTTTAAATATTTGTCTAGAAAGGGGAAACATCAGGTGAAGGGGTCTGGGGATCTTCTCAGATTTTTTAGCAACAAAGATTTCATTCACTGCATTGTGCTCGATTTAATGCACAAATTTATGTTCTTGTGATTTTGTCTTGTGTACTCTTTTGTGTCCCTTCTGTAATCTCATTTGGTGTTAGGACACATTATCACATGTTAAATACATTTATTTTGATACTTTTATTTTGTATGTAGATTGTTTGTTGGATGTATGATTTTACTGCTGCCTGAAAAACAAATTACCCTCTCACAGCGACAAGAAAGACAACCTTGTACCGTGAACCAGAGGTCAGCCATGATTTGACTGTCTGAGATTTGCATATTCATTTGCATAATTCTTTTTGCATTTTATCAAAAATAAAAACAGCGATGGTTTGAGAATAACATGCATAACTTCCAGGTTATACCAGTTTTGAGGATAATATGTATTTAGGATTATTCCAAGAAATGACTTAAAAAAGCAACATGTCCGATGTGTCCTTGGGCAAGACACTTAACCCCAATTTTCTCCTGCTGCTTCAAAGGCAACGTATGAAAGGGATTAGTTACTTCTGATGGTCTCACTACATAGAAACCTCTGCCATCAGTGTGAATGGGTGTGATTGAATCTACTTACTTGGTCCATTACATTTCTCCTGACACAATGAAAGTAATAATACTCTGTCAACAAGTTCAATCAAAGGGAAATTCATGCAAACATCGAAGTCAGATGCAAACTATAGGCTCTGTTTTTCTTTGTAAGCAGAGCAGAACAACCGCACATAAACAACCCCTTACATCAGACTTTCTTTTATTTATTTAATGTTTTTTATACACTTATGTATGAGTGAGAGAGGACGACACATGTCAAGTTTGTTAATAAAGCACATTTACAAAATTCTCAACTTGACCAAAGTGCTATAAAACCAAGATAGAGAAATAAATAAAATTAAAATCCATATTAAAGAAGAGTACCCACAAAGAAGTATGAAACCCCAACAAAATGAAATGTGAGAATAAAACAAATAAGAGCAAAGATTAAATCCATAAACAGAATAATTGGTCAGGCCATTGCTTCATTTGTGACATTTTATCACATTTACAGTTCCAGGTCTAAAAGAACGGATGAACTTGGTTCATTAACTTTAAAATTATCAAAAGTGTATTTGAAGATAATCTGGATTGTTGACTGTGTCCACAGCTGGGATGAGCAGCTGGTGTTGAATTTCTTTAGATTTGCAAATCAGTGTCAGTGATATAAGTAGAGACTGTTGTCGTATTCAGTTCACAGAGCACCACGATGGAGAAGTTCTGGCTGGGTCTCTTGTGTCTCTCAGGTCAGTAAACTCTGTTTAATTATAACTGCTTATTTTCTTACAATCCACAATGTCTTCAGTAATTAAGTGTTTTAAGGGGTTGTCTTTATGATTATGTTGGTTGGTCTGAAAAAAATGTTAACCTTAAAAATTCAATAAAAAGCAATATATAAAATAGAATAATATAATAGAAGGCAGTGTACATATTATTTTTAATTTTGTTCGACAGGTGCATCTCCACATAAACAGAGAGACTTTGCACATTAATAGTTTGGTAAAGCAGCTTTATATAAATCATTTTGTAGGTGCAGCTAGGCCTGGGCGATATGACAAATAATTTTATCACGATAAAAAATGTCATATCAGTCGATATCGATAATTATCACGATAATTGTCAATCATTATTTCTTTCAAATTTAAAATCTGATTTGAAAGTTGAAGAAACCAGATGTTTAATTATGGTTTAATTATTCTTTATTGTCGGGGAGCTGGAAATACTGATACGACAGTTTGCTGCTGGGGAGTGGCACTTACTGGCCCGCTGCTTACTGAGGGTCCACACCATAGACTGTTTATTTTATTTACAATACGGTCCATACTAACACTCGTTTGGGATGTTTGGTCATTTCTTTCCTTCGGTGTGTTATAACGGGTCAGGTTTGTGGTGTCGCCGTTTTAGCTGCACTTGTCTTCGGCACAGTTAACAGAGCACTTTACTCTGTTTTTTGTCGGTCTGTAAACTATCCAAACTGTCTCTAAACTCCGGAAGTTGAGCGGCCTTTCTTGTCGACGATGTTTTCTCCTGCTCTGAGCCGCTACACTCAGCGTTTTCTTCAGGGTCTCTATCGCTTATTTCAGCTGTGTTTTCATTCCACTCCTAACATCTGTAAGCCCGCCTACATCCCTATCCCTGCAACATGATTGGCTGTTCATCGTTTTTTTCTTCTTCTCTTTAATATCGGGAAATTTTATCTTACATTTTTCATATTTAAATTGACAAAAATTATATCGCAATAATTATCGTTATCGTTTTATCGCCTAGGTGCAGCAAAGCACCTGTTTATTTACTCTTTACTGTATGTGTGTTCTCCTCACAGGCTGGAACATCTCCTCATGCCTTCCCTCTCAGTACCACTATGTAGCTGAGCCTATGACTTGGACTGAAGCTCAGACCTACTGCAGAGAGACGTACACAGACCTTGCCACTGTTGAAAACATTGAAGAAATGAAACAACTTCTCTCCACAGTTCCATCTCTGCTTGATGAACATTTTGTCTGGATCGGCCTGTACAGTAAAAGAGTGGAAATGGTCTGACGGCTACACAGAGAGTGGGGCTGATTATAGGAACTGGCAGCCTGCAGAACCCGACTTTTACGGAGGTCAATTCTGGTGAATGCGGCCGGTTCGGGTAACGTAAATGACGCCACTTCCATACTGAATGAATCAGATGAAGTAGGAACAAATATCTGCCTACTGTGTGTGCCTACTGAATAGTAGGTACTAACAGTATACAGCACGGATAGTAGGTACTGCCTACTGCCAGATTGAGTAGGTACTTGACAATTCGGATGCAACTCTGTCTCAGCCTACCTTTCAGTCAACCTAACGACAGGCGGAGAGCTGGAGCTGAGGCGGGTTTTAAGCCTCATGACAATCATCTACACCTGTCAATCAGGTCAGCTACACGCCTTATTGTGAATAACTCTTATCCATCTTCAATTAAAAACAGACGAGTCATCAAAACATTCAACCCCCTGTACAGTGTGTGTCGATCGAGACATGAGCTAATGAGACCTATTTGGCTTTATGAACCAGGCTGTAAACATGTTAATTTCTGCTTTTTTGAATGTTGGGTGTGTGACTTCCTGTGCTTCTGCAGCCAGCCTCTAGTGGACACTTGAGGAACTGCAGGATTTTACACTTCAGCTTCATTGTTAAGTTTTGTTTTGACAAGATGATAATAATTATTATTATTATTAGTGAAGACCTCCGGTGGAAGCGTTGTGGTTGTGATGGAATTAAAATTTCAATTTTGTGGCATTTGAGCAAGTGTGCGGCAGATCTTCTTCCTCAGGCTGCTGTTTTGCTTTGCCCTGCACCTACCTGATGTGCATATAACTACATGCTCCTTTCTCTACATGTCTCTCCACACATTAGCTTCAATTATGATCACTCATATCCCCACAGAGGTGACGTTTGACCCGAGGTCACGTGAGAGCGCAACAACTTTTTAATATCTCATTTGCACTCAAACTTGACACCTGTCGGCCTGATTGAGAAACCTCTCTAAGTGGATACCTGAACTCATCAAACACCTGGACACCTGAACTCATCAAACACCTGAACACCTGAAGTCATCAAACACCTGGACACCTGAACTCATCAAACACCTGAACACCTAAACTCATCAAACACCTGAAGGAGAAACCTCGATGGAGAGATACCTGCAGGGAAACCCGTCTGCTACCGGAGCCCCGTGATGGACCGCCTGCTGACTGGGGTCAGTTGATGGCTCAGCAGCTTTGCTGGTAAGACATCTTTTTATTTTCATGCTAAATGTGTTCGTTTATCTTTCTTTAAACATTTAAATGAGGTTTATGAAACAAAGTATGTTCAATGGATGAATGTACGTAAATCGAAAGTTAAAAGAGTTTTCATTGGGTTGTTAAGAAAACAATAATTGTTGGAGTTACTCAACGTTTTCTTGATTTTAAAACGATGATTTCATGATTAAAATGTGTCTGGCTGTTGCGGGTGGAAAAGTGGAATTTGTAAGCAGGTGCGAACTGATTTGAAAACAACTTTATTTTGGTTTGAGGGTCAATTTGACTCAATTAATCGTCTCAATTTGAGGAGAAAAAGATGGCGACCAGGCCATTTTTCGAATAATGCCAAAAACGTATTTTTCTTGTTCGCCATGGAGCAAATTTAAAAAGCCTGGTTGTTGAAGTTTTGTCACAGATGTATTAATAAGTCATTTAAAAATATATTCAGAGATGATTGAGGAATGTTTTCTCCTCGGTCATGTTGTGTTCTGATGTTAAGAGAAGAGATGATGCAGATAGTCTGAAACGCTCCGTGTGTCTGCTCCTCTCTCCTCCACGCGCGTTGTCTGTAACTCATGTGACAGTAACTAAATATAAGAGAACACGTTTATCCTGACAGGAAGTTCACACCTGTGTATTTAGTGGTTCTTTCTCGTGCTAGAGTTTATAAAGGCACTCTCGTTTGGGCATGCATAATGACGCCCGGAGCTCTGTGGCACATCTGGGAACTTTTTGCCACAGCTTATTGCAAACTAAAGGTAAGTGGGCTCCTGTTAGAAACTCCACAGTGTCCCATCAGAGAGAAGTGTGGGGTCAAACATGATGTAATGTGAGAGGATGTTCTGATTATATTTGATGAAGGTGAAACTACATGCTCCGATGGAGTTCCGATCTGTGTCTGATTTATGAGACTGTTACTGTGATTGGATGATAATCATCCTCCTTCAAATACAAACCATCGCTGTGTTGTGAACTTAATTTAACTTTTTCAACTGACTCTTAAGAGGCTGTTGACTCACCTTTATGTCAAACTCAGCCTCTTCACTTCACAGCTCGAGGATGAAGAAGGAAGAAGACGAAGGTGAATGTGACCTGCTGACTGTTCTGCTCCTGTTCGATTCATTATTATCACATTTTTAATCACATTAATCTGTCTTCATCCTCGTGGTGTTATTATTCATCTTACTAACCATCTTGTGTCTCTCCTCTTGTCCTACTCGGCTGCCTGAGGTCGAGTAGGATCAGAGGACCAGTGGAGGTGAGTGTCAGCTTCTCATCGAGTGTTTTTATAAAGACAGGGACACAAATTCATTATCCAATCATATTAAAGATACATGTTATACTGACTATTCTTTTGTTCTCTTCTCTGACTCCATCTCCTCAGCTGCTGCCCTTCACTGCAGGTGACGACCAATAGGATCCGAGGACAGCAGGTGCAGAACATTCAGAGTTTCCATGAAGAAGAAGTGTTGAGATCCGACCTGCAGGAGGAGCAGACAGAGGTAACGACAATGACAATATAACTTCAGGAATAATCCAGAGACCATCCATCTCACTCTCTCTGTTGGACTCTGTGTTTGTTTTACAGACTCATCGTTTCTGCAGGACATCCAGGGTTACCGCAACGACGACGAAACAAAACGCCAACTGCAGAGCGGATCATTTTTAGAGCGACGGCCACAAGACGAGCTGCAGAGAGAAACTGAGCTGTGTTTTCATCGTTAAGGTAAGTCCCAGTTTATAAAAGTAACACAAAGAGCAACGTTAACATGTGATGCAGATATGTCTCATTGTAGACCATCAACTTTTTCTTGTTGCATAATCAAAGTATTTTTTCTGTTTCATAGGGAAGGACTGCCGATTCATTTGTGACCAAACCTGGGACCCTTCAGAGAGACGATATCAACCAATCAGCATCCAGCTTCTATTTCAACCAACCTTCTGAAAACATCTGGTTTGGTGTTACATTCAGTAAAACCTGCAGACCTGCAAAGAAAGATTATGAATTTGGAGTTTTGTTAGACTTTGAGTAATTTTGTGTTGAAGCATTCAGTTTATTATAAAAGCTTCAACGTTTATTTGGTTTATTATCGCGTTACACACATTGTGTTGGATCTGAACTCACCTTTAAAATCATCAAAGACAAATAATCAAACTCTCTAAAACTTTATTCTTTAAAGAAAGTTCAAATAAATATCTGTTAGAACTTAAATAGTCTGAGATGATTTATATTAAGTTTATTAAACTCAATTAGAGTGAAGGTGTCATCTTGATGTTGGATGTCTGGATGCAGTTAACTAAAACAGCCAGTAGGTGGAGCTGCTGCTGCAGAGATAACAGCTGACTCTAAGGAGCTGCGGAGGTTTGACCTTTGACCAGATGGTGCTGCAGAGAGGTGACCCAGAGGGGGGAGAGCACGTGTCGGGTATCGCTTCAATCTCTGTTAAATAACAGCATAAGAGTGATGCAGTGAGTTCTTCTCTCCTGACATCTTTCCCCAGAGTCAGAGTAAGTCATATCATACTCTGTATACATATTGATCAAATATTTTTGGCCGATCTATTCCACAATCTTTCCATTTTTCCCCTCATTATTACTGCACAAATGGAGCCCTGGTGTACAGCGCCCCCTGCAGGACAACCATTTTAGATCAATGTGCATGGTCATATGTGCACTGCATACATGCAAACCTTTTCTGGCTTCAGAATTCCCTGTTTTGAGTTATTGTAGCGAGTTGTCTCGACGTATTAAACAACTAATCGAACAAAGCAGTCAGATGTTCTGCTAAGATCCTCTGTTGGAGGAGTTTGGTTCAACGTGTGATTGTCTGTGACCTGTCTCTGATGTGTTTCAAACCAGCTTATAGTCCCTCTGACTGCGCGTATGTCTGTACTGCAAACTCATTGTCCTCTGTGTCAATGTCAGAGCAGGCAGGAAGGTGACAGAGTGATTGACAACGCCGTCTGTCCCTTTGACTGAGACATTTTTCCATCGAGCCGCACAGTCCGCACTGACAATGAACACACACACACACACACACACACACACACACACACACACACACACACACACACTGTTCATGACATCAGAGGAGGCTTGTTTCAGACAACAGGCTGTGATTGGCCGTCTGGAGGTTGTAGGTGTGGTCAAAGGATCATGAATGGATTCTGGGCAAAGATGTTTAGTCATAGCATGGAGACCAGACACAAAGATGGTGATCATTAAGTCCGATAAGACCCGATCACCTGAGACATGTCACAGCGTGATAAACACCTGCAGCCTGATTTATTCTTTGTGAACGTGTCTCGACTCTCTGACTTTAATGATGTTGTTGAAATAGTGTTTCTCCTCCCCTGATGTTATAGAGAAATCTCTTCACCTTTTGGATTCTATTAAAACTAAATCTTAATCATTATACTTTAGACTAAACAGAAAATTGAATTAACTGCTAATAATAATACAATTTATTTAAAGGAAGAATGTGCAACATGTTACGCAAATGTATGATAAATCCAGTCTCTCCTGTGTAAATGTGTTTCTGAGTCATGACTGTCTACAATGAGTGAGAAGGTCGAGTCTCGCTAGCTTTGTTGTTGTCAGAGCCGTGTTTACATGGACGGGCCGGTTGGCTCCTCCCCTTGTGTATAAAAGCTGTTTTATGGCCCTGACACACCAAGGAGACCATCAGCGTTGGTCCGTCTGTGAGCGGTCGCCCCCCTACTTTTTGAGGTGTGTCCAGCTACGTCGCTACCCGTCTGCCCCCGTTGGCCTTTTTTTGGCGATTACAGACTACCGCCGCCTGCTGGCATGGAGAGTTATTTCCGCAGAACGTACGTAGTGTGGTTGGTCGTTGCCTGTAGTCTTTGCGATGTGTTCAAGTGCAACTTTTTGGCCAAGACGTGAGGCGGCCTTCGTCGCCACTAGTTCTTTGCTGTCTGCTTGGTGTGTCAGGGCCTTAAGTCAAGGACTAGAGAAAAGAAGAAGAACATAATCACTGCTTATTTTGATGTCACATAATCATCTTTTGATCATGGTCATTCCATGTGAATGTATGTGAAAAGGGAAGCTACGAGCTAACTAAAGAGCACTAACATTAGCATGCTAACAAAATAATTCAGGACACAGGTGATTGCAGCTCAAGCAAAGGACAACTTTATCCACTGCTTACTATTAATGGTGCTTAATTACGGTGCATTCTTATTCATAACTCCTTTATGTGAATGTGAGTGGAGAGGGGTTGGAGGTGTGTCTCTGGAGGAGAGCGGAGGCTTCAGGATGGAGGAGGTGTGGCCAAACAGCAGTTTGTTTTGGTTTCATGCTGGTGCTCAAGGGCGACATCTACTGGATCAAAAAGTCACACGTTCTTCCTTTTAAAGGCATCTTTCATCAAGCAGCACCTTATTAATGTATTACTTTAAATAATTTAATTCTTCAAGACAAAATGTTTCCTCGTCTTTTTTGTTGATGGAGGGTTAAGTTTGTAACTCATTTAAGACAAGCTAAAGTGAGCCCTCCGTCTGACACGCACACGCACGCACGCACGCACACACACACACACACACACACACACACACACAGTAAAATGGATGTTTGACGTCACATCAGCAGTTATTCACTCTGCCTGCAGACAAACACAGAGAAGCCTCATAAAGGACGTTTCTGCATGAAAAGATGTGAAAGACTTCAACAGGCACAAGACGGTCTGACAGTTACATAAACACGGTTTAGTTCTTTTTTTGGTCACAGGCAGACACCGTACCTGACATTCTCAGAGGTTACAGGTGACGGCTCAGCGGTGGTGTGCCCCAGGGAACGTGATGTGTGAGATAAACATGTCACTGATTCACACCGCTCTCACCCCGGGCGCTGCTGGAGTCTCAGTTTGGTTTTATTTATGAATAGAAATAGAATCCAAGCAACAATAATCATCCAGCACTGGGCTTAAAAGTTTGAGTGGTAGGGTAGGCTTGAGCTTTGATTTTAAAATGTGCCGGCTGGATTTATCTCTTAGACAAGGCCTTAGGCAAACATGAACAAAATAATGTTTGTTGTTTTCTAAACTGGAGACTCATTTTATGTTAAGCCTGCAGCAGCATAACTAGGAGCTGGTCTATACCTGCACCAGCCCCTAACTCTAAGATTTAACAAAAAGGAAAATTCTATTCTAGTCTATTCTTAAAAGAGTGTGTCTGCCTCCTGGACCCTGACCGGAAGATGATTCCAAACGAGAGGGGTCTAAAACCTGAAAGCTCTACCTCCCATAGTACATTTAGAGACTGTAGGAACCTGGCCTGCAAAACAAAAGCACTTTGAGTTTTGAGTCAACAGCGCCTTTCTGAAAACTTTAAAGATTTTCAACTTGAGTGCTCGCTTTCTGCTGCGAACGCCCTCTACCCATTGAAAACAACTGGAAAAAGACGCTAGGTGGACAAGGGGCCTAAAAGATGAAAATCTTAAAACAATGGTGAATAAAAGAAAATCTCCTTATTTATATATGTTGACAATCATTTACAAAACAACTCCTAAAAATAAATACATTAAATTGAAATCAGTTCACTTGAAAGTGAAAACAAAAAAGGCTGAGATGATTCAACAGACTCTTTGCGTGATTTTTTACAGTGTATGAATCTCAAACTCTGTATTCTCCGAGCAGTAAAACACACAAACAGAGCAGTGAGTTGTTTCTCCCTCTGAGGCTACTGCCGTCCTAATGCTGAAGGTTTTCACCCAGCTGTGATTGTCTCTGACAGGTGAACTGAGTCATTCCTGCCCAACGCTAAAATAACCTCCGTGCACGCTCACACAAATAACCACACACAAACATCCTCGACTGGACTTAACCTTTGGATTCTGGTCGGTCTGAACTGATCCATCAGTCTCTCATTAACAAGGTTTGAGACCTTTAAACCCCAGATCCTACTCCACTCAGAAATATTACATCATCCATCTGTCTTTCAATTACCAACACTGGCTCGCTTTGCTTCCTGAATCCCTGATTGAATCAAAAACCCCACCTGCCGACCGCTGGTGTGTGTGTGTGTGTGTGTGTGTGTGTGTGTGTGTGTGTGTGTGTGTGTGTGTGTGTGTGTGTGTGTGTGTGTGTGTGTGTGTGTGTGTGTGTGTGTGTGTGTGTGTGTGTTAAAGCTCAGGAACAAAAGGACGTCTTGTCTGCTGGATTTTTCTGACCTTTTTCTGATTTTTGGTGCCATTAAAGGTCAACGGGATCATGATCTATTTTCTACATTTCAATATTTAAGATAATTCTGACATGCCTTCAACCTGCAATTTATAAAATGTCCAGCAGGTGGCAACTCCATCTGTGATTATATTGAAGTCTATAGCCATTTTTATAGTGGCTGATCTGGTTGTTCACACCTCACAGCGGGAGAGTCACCACCACTGATTATATCCTGCTGCTTCCTCACAACAGCTCACTCTAACTTTGTGCGGAAAAAATACTCTGAGAAACTCCGGATAAAGTCTGAATGAAAAATGTGGCTGTTTGCATTCACACATGGAGCTCACACCGAAAACTTCAGTTTTTAAGGAGTTTTGTGTGAGTGTGAATGGACTATAAGAGAAAATGGTCCTAATTGATTTATTCCCTTACAAATTCCCTGAAACTTAAACAATAGATATTCATACTTAAGGACAATTTGGCCCTGAAATCTTCTTGAGTTGCTCTTTCACACATGTCGACTCACAGCAGAAGATTCTCCCCGTTGGACAGGAGGGTGGGGGGTGGGGGGGACTTGAGAGGGAAGAAGCGACGTTAAAAAGGACGCTGTGGAACTTACAGCGTAATGTTTTACAACAGTGAGGTAATAGACGGAGCAGAGTTAGCGTTTATTTAAATGCTTGCTACGTGCTATTGGACGTATTCATACAGTGAATTTTGTCTGAATATTTCCTGCCTCATATTGACTCAACCTGACTTCACTTGGAAACTAAACTAGAGTACATGCAGGAAAATTCCTTAAAAAGTGAGGATGAAAAATCCAGCTGTTTGTGTTCATACATTTGCATGACTTACAGAGTGTAGAAAAACAGAATTTCCCCTTGTGTGATCAATAAAGTAAATCTTAATCTTAATCTTAACATGCTGACCAATCCAAAAATGTTGGGACATTTTCATGCACATGCACATGCGCATTAAGACAATTACTGACTAGATGTTCTACCATTATCTATCGTTTCAAAGTGCAATTTACTCTCTGATGCTGACGAGGAAAAATCAATCCAAGATTTCATCCTCTTAAGGTTCTTGTTCAGTCACTCTGTCCATCGTTTTTGTTGTCTTCACCTCTGCCAAGGTCATACATACTTGGCCAAGACCGGTAAATTGTCCCGTTTTCCAAAAGGACTTTCTGCCTGAAAGCTGAACGTATTTCTCACAGTGAATTGTAGACACATAACCAAAGTAAAATTCTAGATAAAAGGCGAGAATGAAATATGTATTTTTCTTGTTCTTCATTCGTAGGTAGTGTGATGTTGAAGCGGTTATTTTGAGGCAAAATGGGAACATAATGTTGCTTTAATTGGTTTTGATAACTTAATTTGAAGCTGACTGATTGCTTAATTGACCTTCAACAAACACCTTCCAATTATCTTCTTCTAATCCTTCAGATCTCATTTACAGAGAGACGACATGATTCAGGGTCTTTTCTTTTTAAACACAAACACGTCTCCTGTCTTTACTTTGGGGGGTACAGGAAAGCCCCCTCTCCTTCTCGTCTGTTCTGGGGTCACTCAGAGGGGCAGTCAGTGTCACCTCCCTTAACCAGTTTAACCAATCATCTAGAACCAGCTGGGACACCCCCCCACCTCTCAGCACCACACCCCCTCCCCAGCATCCCCTGTGACAAATCGGATGGCTGAGTGAAGGTCCCCTCTCTTCTCTTGGTACCCCAACCCCCACGAAACAGGCCCCCATCTCCCACAGACTTCTGAAGGCGTTGTAATAAGCAGGTGTATTTGATATGATCAGTTAAGGCTTGTTTTTTTTTTGGTGGTGTTTTTTTTTTTGGAAAAAGCATCAGACAAGCATGCGTCAGCGTGCAGAAGTGTAAACCGTCATGTTGTCATAGTTTTATAAGTGGGCGAGGATGCTGCGGGGAGTTTGACTGTGGACGTGCACATTTTCACACATTTTCTCTGCAACAAATCTGTGAGACCTGACATGATGAGGACAACAAGTGCAACATATTCCAAAAGTATTTACTCCCCCTGATGACTACAAACACATAATAACGTGCAGTGAACCACCAATGAGGTAACTGCCCCTTAAAAAAATCAAGTATCCCTTAAAAACCCAACATTTTGGTGCAGTTAATCTCCATTCAAGGGGGGTCTGGATTTTAATCTGAGGAGTGTTTTGGTTTCTGTTTGGTGTATGTTTCTAGTCTAAGCTTTAAGGTGTATGCAGGTAAAAACAGTCTGCATGGAGAGGAAGAAAGCAGGCAGAACACAATCCGCCGTGATGACAGCCAGGCTCCAATCAGCAGTAATCTGACAATCGTTTATTTATCTCAATAC